GGCCTCCCCCAGTTGTGGGGGATTCCCATGGGGAATGATTCCCCATGCCCATGATTCCTGTGGGGCCCACGTGGTTGGACAGTGCCATTTTGGTGTGGACCAGAGGCTGACTAAGGCTTAAGAGGGGTGGGAGGTGGAGCGGTGCCTGTCCCACCTAGAGAGAGCTCGTCCTTCCCCCCGCCCCAGCTTCCCACCTGGTTGTTGTCAGCCAGTCAACCATTCCTTCGGTCTCCTCCAGGTGTCTCCCACCTTGGAAAGGGCCTCTCCAGAGATCTCTGCCTCTGCAGCCATGGCTGGGCAGAGGTCCCATTTCCCCAGTCCAGTGCCAGGTGCTCCAGCTCTGTGGTGCTGGAGAGCACAGCCATGCTCAGCCCTTTCTGGGGTGCCTTTCTGCACTTGGCTTTCCTTCCTGGGTGGGAGCTGGAGCAGGGACAACCTGCACAACCTGTGTCAAACTGTCCTGGCTCAGGGCCCAAACCAGCACCAGGAAACAATTGCTCTGACAAGGCAGGACTGACCCTTCCCTAACAGCTCTCCNTTCCCCATGCCCATGATTCCTGTGGGGCCCACGTGGTTGGACAGTGCCATTTTGGTGTGGACCAGAGGCTGACTAAGGCTTAAGAGGGGTGGGAGGTGGAGCGGTGCCTGTCCCACCTAGAGAGAGCTCGTCCTTCCCCCCGCCCCAGCTTCCCACCTGGTTGTTGTCAGCCAGTCAACCATTCCTTCGGTCTCCTCCAGGTGTCTCCCACCTTGGAAAGGGCCTCTCCAGAGATCTCTGCCTCTGCAGCCATGGCTGGGCAGAGGTCCCATTTCCCCAGTCCAGTGCCAGGTGCTCCAGCTCTGTGGTGCTGGAGAGCACAGCCATGCTCAGCCCTTTCTGGGGTGCCTTTCTGCACTTGGCTTTCCTTCCTGGGTGGGAGCTGGAGCAGGGACAACCTGCACAACCTGTGTCAAACTGTCCTGGCTCAGGGCCCAAACCAGCACCAGGAAACAATTGCTCTGACAAGGCAGGACTGACCCTTCCCTAACAGCTCTCCTGAGCTCACACCACTCACATCTTCTGAGACCTGTGCATGGAGCTTCATCTGGACCTGGAGAGGTCCCACCAGGGCTGACAAAGGCCCAGGGAAGGAGCACCGTGAGCCCAGAAGGGAAGGAAGAACTGCAGCTCATGAAGCCATGGCAGATGGTAGCTGTGACAGACACCTCTGGGCATTGGCAGAGCCCACCTGACCAGGCTGTGTTGGGAACCTTGGCAGAGGCTCCTGGTGGCATTTGGACTGTTCTCATATCTGGTTCAGACTGGTGTAGGTCTCACCTGGCTGTGGGTTTCCTCTCTTGCAGTACCACTGGTGGGACACACCATCTCTCAGCAGGTTTCCAGCATCCTTGGGGTGAAACAATCTCTCCCCAGTTTTCTTTACAGCTTCAGCCCTGGGCTTCCCACAACAATCATGCCTTGCAATACAAACACACAATATCCTTTCAATGTCGCTGAGAAGAACAGAGTTTCCAAATGTCTCTCCTGTTTTGGTGTCTCTCAGACACTGGACTAACATGCAACCCAGCTGCTCATGTGGAGGTGCTGTTTCCAATTCCCTGGGCTTGTGAGGGAATCTCAGGGGATCTCCAGTTATTAAGTTATCAGACACCTTTGTTGTTAAAAATCAACCTTGGAGCTCCACAGCCTTTGCTGGATTAAACCACCCTTGGAGCTCCACTGGCAGGAGCTCAGGGACCTGGCTGGAGAGGAGCTGGAGCTTGTAAAACCCCCTTTTGCCAAATGTGCAGTGAGAGGAGGGTCTTCAGTCCAGGCTGCTCTGAGCTGGCCTGGGTGGAAAGAGGTCTGTGTGGTCCTGTGCACATCCTCCCCTGGTCCAGCCCCTCCCAGCTCCCTGTATCTTCCCTGTTCTCTGCACCATCGCAGAGTCCCTGTGCTCCATCCCAGGGGTGCTGGATTTACCTTGTTGGGATCCATTATTCCCCAGGGGGTCAAACCATCTCTTGATGGGTCAGGGCATGGAGACGATGTCCACCAAGGAGAAGCATCTTTGCCTCTGAAGACAAAGGAGTGCACTCACCAGAAAATCAACAGAAATAAACCTCTTCCTCCCCTTTCTCTCCTCTCCTGCACATTTCTTTTGCAGCCACTCACTTTTGGTTTTCGTTTCAAAGATATTTTTGTATTTCCTGGTCTGTGATGTTTCTCTCCTCTGGAAACCTGAGGGTGAAATGTGACTCGGGGAGGGCTTAGACTTGATGCTGGAGAGGACATGGAGTGAGCTCCCAGAGCTCCTCCAGTGGTCTGCATCTTTTCCAGCTGTGAGAGAGCTTTGGAAAGGCAGGGAGAAAATGAAAATAAAAGGCTTTAAACACAAATGACTCCAAGGTATAGGTCATCTAAGAGTACAGATGGTGTGGGAAATCAGTGTTTGGAAAACATGGAAGCTTGAAATAAAATTACAAGCCAGAACCATATTTGAGCTATTTTCCTCCAGATTCACCAAAACTGATTCCAGAGAGAGCAACTGAGAGTGAGCAAAGCAGCCTCCCCAAATACTGCTTTATGAAAGAATGACCGATTTCCTACCACAGCTATTATTTATTGTCTGTTTTAACCCAGTCAAACCGATGAAGAAAGGCCAGGGCTTGTCTGTCTTCCAGAAAAAGCTTAAGGACAGGCTGGGGTTTGCTGGGCAGTCACACACCCCCAAGAGCTCAAGGCTTGGGAAGGGTTTAGAGGTGCAACCTCAAGCCCCTGTGCTCTCATGCAGGAGGAAGGTGGGAAGTGTGGACTGGGGGGCTGCTGAGCGGGGCAGGACAGGGCCCGTGCTGGGCACAGGGCAGGACCCAGGGAAAGGGTGTGTGGAGCAGCCGTGCAGCAATGAGGGGCAGAGCTGCTTTGGGGAGGGCAGGAGGACAATTGCTTCCTCCAGCTCCCATGGACCTCTGAACAAGGGGTCTGCAGGGGTTGTAAAAAACACCCTGGTGTATGGGGCTCACCTGGTGACATCAAAACCCAGCTGATGTGCAAATCTGCAAAGCTCTTTTTGTCTAAAACCCCAACATTAATGCAAACCTGTACAATACCAGGTATGTAACCAATGATCATTTTGATGCAGGAACAAATGTGGCCTTGTGACCTTACATTGTATTTTACCAGTCCCATGGCATGAGCTGTTCTTGGTCCAGACAGGGCTACAGATGACTCTTGGATGGGATTTAGGTTTGGGAAGAAAAGCAGACCAAGAGGAGGAAGGAGAAGCAGTAGCAGAGTACAAGTATGAAGCTTTGAGGGTCTGGTGGATGTCTCAGCTGAGCTCAGGCCAGAGATATCTCCCCTTTCTATCCCTGTGTACCTCCCTTCGTGTCTCTCCAGCCACCCCTTTGTACCTCCAGGGCTGTCACCAGGCAGCTCAACCCCATTCCAGGAGGGACTGTGGAAGGCAGAGGTGCAGTCTGGGAGAGAAATCCATGTCTGTTCTCCATTGGAGCAGAAGCACCTGATCATTGCACACCCCCACAGACAGAGCCCTGTGAGCACAGCAGGGCCTGTGCCCCTGTGTACCTGTGCATCCAAGGCAGCATCGGTGTGGGCACAGAGAAGAGCACACCCGGACTTGGATCCCGTGGTTTATGGACACACGGGTTCCTTTTGACACGGGGGGATGGAGATGTCTTCACTCGAGTGCCACGGCACGAAGGGAAGGGGAATAGGGACACGACACTGCACAAAGGGTTCTGACATGGTAGAAGGTCAGGGTGCAATGGCCACTTTATTGAGGGGAACAAAGACTTATATAAGGTTCGGGTAAGGGGAGGTCTAATAACTAGGGCGGAGCATGGGATTGACGTCTCAGGGGATAACAGGATTGGGGAACACGGAGAAAATGGGAGGAACTTAGGAGTATCTAGGGAAGGGGGCCAATGGGAGGTCACTCTGCACTGCGGCATCCATCAGCCAGTCAGTGAGAGATGAGCGGGAAACCAGGGGAGAGTAAGGGGGTAAACAACTTTTGAAGGGAAAACGTGAGGGCAAGTCCAGACAAGCCCTGAACAGTACAGACCAAGGGGATTAACGTAGGGATGGTTGTGGGGGTACATTGAACACGGCAATAAACTGGGGAATAACATGA